GAATTCCTTCCGGCCGATGAGATGTAACAACCCCATCGACCGGAAGGGATTCCTTCCGGTGTGGTAAGCCAATCTTGAATAAGAGGCCCACAAAATCAAAGCATCAAGCACAATAATAAGCCCTCTGGACAACATTACCCTCAAGGATCAAGACAAGCCCCCTTTGGAATATTCAACCAACCTGCAACACCATGGATGTCACAAGAACAAGCCCCCAGGACAGAAGACACTCTGGATTCACATTTCATTCATTTATTACATAATCACTTCATGCAGTATTACATCATCAATCCCCATTCAGCCTTCCACACGTGGCCTCTGCATGTGTTTCACTCTAATCCACTTTCACTCTAGTCTCATTTCCACTTTGGGCCATATTCTATTGTTTCACACTATTCCTCTTGGGTTATTTACATGTCTCACACTAGTACACATCTGGCTAGTTCATTTACCTCTTTGGTATATTCTTCCCTCCCTCTTTGGTTGTGGCACATTTCATCCCTGCATGTCTCTGATTTCATTTCCCCCATTTATCTTAGTGTCTACCAATTGGGCCACATTGTTTCAGTTTGATATTTTTCACTCTTATATTTTGTTCCATCCCCCTTCCACCCACAAGCTGGCCACTCCCCAGAATCTTGTATATAAGGAGCCTTGTTTTTCATGTTCATTTGTTCCCCATCAGATCCTGCCCCAGTAAGCCAGATAACTGATCACCCATTATTAGCCAGGTATATGCCCATCAACATTTGGGATACCTTGATTTGTGAACAAGTATATTTTGACCAGTAGACATAAGACATATTAGACATACCTTACTCAAGAAATCTCCATAGCCACACCTATTCTTCAAGAGTCCATACTCTTGTTCTTTTCTTGTTACCTTACTCATCCTAGTTCCCAGAGAGGCAGCCCATTAAAGCACTATTCCCTCTCAAGCTCTATTCATCCCAAAGAGTAGTTCCACATTGGTCGATGGTATTGTTGTTTCTTATTGACCGGTGTGGTATACCTTAAGGGTAGCCATGTGGCTCATTTAAAAATTTTACAGTTTTTTCTTTTATTACAAATTACATACTTTTTGCACCTTTTTTCTCATATATACACTCACAAATCAACCATTATGGCTCAAGAACTGGATTCTATGGTCAATTTCACCCTTGGTCACCACTGGAGGCGTCACTGTAACTCAACTGGATTGGAAGCTACACCCTCTGGACCATCACTACACTCAATTACACAACTCACCACCATGGCAACACTTCAACACTCAACAACACCAACAAATTACATGACTCACACTATACATATGTACATTGCAGGACAACTACATACACTCTCACACCATTATAGTACATGTATACACACCACTCCACTATCTTCTGACAGTTGACACATGCAGTGTTGGTCTGGTACCACTCTGGATTTACAAGTGACATCATGCAGGTTGTCATGTCATTTTTTAATCTTCCTTGCAGCTGTCACACTATCTCACACCACTCATGTAATACTCATCACCTCACCTTAGCTTGCAGACTAGTACATCACCTCATGTAAAATGCTTCACCAGCATAAAACCCTCATGTAGACTTCTAGTTCCAGCTAAAATAACTCTTATGACATCATGTAGGTTGCTCAACCAGCCAAAATACCTCATGTACATGTTCTGACTAGCTAAATCCCCTCATTGTAAAGCTCTGGCCAGCTAAAATCTCTCATTCTCTTGTTCCCCTGAAGCTAAAATCCCTCACCTTTGTGTATTTAAGAGGCTCTCCTCTCAGTTGTTTTCCCCTCAGTTTAGTATCCACCTATTTCATACCCCCTACCCTTACAAACCCTTACATACCATTACATACCATCCCCTTACCATTGAAATATCAGCTAGACTCACTCTCTCACTCTCAAATCAACCTTTAGACCCTTATAAAACTGGGTTAAACCCTTTGTCCACCTGTTAAGCCACAGTTATCTTTTGATACACTCCACTATCACTTTATTAAACCTTCCAATCTGAGATTGGTGGGCTTGTCTAGTGTCTAGTGATCCAGGAAAGGCAGAGGTATCCTCATTCATCCCTTTCCACACTCAGCAAAAGGTTTTCACAAACACTTTTGAGCTTTACAAGGGAGTCCCCAACGTGATAGAGGATCCTGTAGTTTGGCAAGTGGATTAGATATATCTAAACCATTGTAGTGATTTTTTATAGTTTATTTTA